TCATTTAATTGAGTTTGAGTCAAAATGCATCTTCAACAATGTAATAGACTGATAATTATGACTACATACCCTGAGTCCTCGTAGAAAAGTCAGTGTCTTGACAGTGTGTTTCCTTTGATGAGAAGGTTTCTCACCGACCTTAGCGTGTAGGGGTGTGATGTCCTGGGCAGGAAATGACAGTGTTTTGACTACTCTTCTTTCATTAATTAACGTGTTGGGCATCCCTAATTAACCTTTACTAATTCATGTTAAACCAACACAGGATGTTTTCTGGAAGTGGATATTCCTGAATGTCATAGGGCTGACACGACACGTGTTAATAACTGTCCTAGCACTTCTTAAGTTACTAAACATTTGTTACATCTAAAGACTAGTATTATATCTACCTATATACCACTTTAGTGGTATCTACATTCTCAACGTGCTTTATAATATGTGATTGGTCTGTGCTCGGTCAGACTTGGCCCGGGCTGTCAAAATCAACTTTAAACACACAGATGTATCACCAAATGTAGATTAGTATTATATCTACTTATATATCACTTTATAAAAAGTGCTTGACTTGAACGGACCAGTTTTCTTTAAATACGATATACTGTGACATTATAAAGTGGTATATAGGTAGATATAGCACTAGTCTAATGATGTAAATACACTTGAAGATACATATATGTGTTTAGAGTTGATTTTGTCAGCCCGGGCCAAGTCGGACCCAACACAAGCAAAACATTTCTGATAGAGACTATGTTGAGAATGTAGAGGGAAAAGGGCATCACTTTAAGCACCTGGTTTTCTTTAAATAGGATGTACCGTGACATTATAAAGTGGTAAATAGGTAGATATAGCACTAGTTTATAGATGTAAACACAGTTGAAGATAGATCTGTGTGTTTAAAGTTGATTTTGACTGCCCGGGCCAAGTCGGACCCAACACAAGCCAAACACTTTTGATAGAGACTATGCTGAGAATGTAGAGGGAAAAGGGCTTCACTTTGAGCACCTGGTTTTCTTTAAATACGATGTACTGTGACATTATAAAGTGGTATATAGGTAGATATAGCACTAGTTTATAGATGTAAACACAGTTGAAGATAGATCTGTGTGTTTAAAGTTGATTTTGACTGCCCGGGCCAAGTCGGACCCAACACAAGCCAAACACTTTTGATAGAGACTATGTTGAGAATGTAGAGGGAAAAGGGCTTCACTTTGAGCACCTGGTTTTCTTTAAATACGATGTACTGTGACATTATAAAGTGGTATATAGGTAGATATAGCACTAGTTTATAGATGTAAACACAGTTGAAGATAGATCTGTGTGTTTAAAGTTGATTTTGACTGCCCGGGCCAAGTCGGACCCAACACAAGCAAAACACTTTTGATAGAGACTATGTTGAGAATGTAGAGGGAAAAGGGCTTCATTTTGAGCACCTGGTTTTCTTTAAATACGATGTACTGTGACATTATAAAGTGGTATATAGGTAGATATAGCACTAGTCTATAGATGTAAACACAGTTGAAGAAAGATCTGTGTGTTTAAAGTTGATCTTGACTGCCCGGGCCAAGTCGGACCCAACACAAGCAAAACACTTTTGATAGAGACTATGTTGAGAATGTAGAGGGAAAAGGGCTTCATTTTGAGCACCTGGTTTTCTTTAAATACGATGTACTGTGACATTATAAAGTGGTATACAGGTAGATATGGCACTAGTCTATATATGTAAATACATTTGAAGATACATCTGTGTGTTTAAGGTTGTTTTGTCAGCCCGGACCAAGTCGGACCCAACACAAGAAAAACATATCTGATAGAGACTATGTTGAGAATGTAGAGGGAAAAGGGCTTCACTTTGAGCACCTTGTTTTCTTTAAGTATGGCGATCTGAGACACTATAAAGTGGTATATAGGTAAATATAATACTAGTCTATAGATATGAATCCATTTCATGATACATATGTGAGGTTTGTGTTGATTTTGACAGCTCGGGCCAAGTCGGACCGAACATTTGTGTGACTGTTGAGAGTATGGGGAGAAGAGGTCTACTTTAACCAAAGTGTCTGCTTTAAATACGACGAACAGTGACATTCTAAAGTGGTAATTACTTAGATATAGTACTATCCTATAAATATAAACGATATGCCGACAGATGGAAATTTGTATCGCGATAGCTAGAAGTATTTGATACGTTTCAAATCTTATTCCGTTTAACGATTGCTCTTTCACATGTTACCTAGATCAGAGACGCTTACACACAGCTCCACTTTCTGGTTTTCAAGTGATTTACTCCGAAGTACTTAATTATGGTGCACGTTTTTGTTTGGCGATTGTTCAATAATGTCATGTGTGTATGTTGCATCAATTATATGTAACTATGGTCGCCGATAATGACGTAATTAGCCAATAACACTTTGGCCCGTCTTGGCCCGGCCCGGCCCGACTTTTAGGCAATGCCGTAAAACACACAAACTAAAGCACCATAATCCAATTAATTACGCATGAAAAATCAGAACCCCAATAGTATTACAAAACTGCGTAATTACCAAATGTAGCTTGGTAAGCTTGCGGAAACGTATGTCTCCTGCTGTTCTTATTGAATGCAGGCATCACGTGACATAGACTGATATTGTTACTGACTTGTATCACTAGGTTATGCGACATGGGACTCATTATATAGTATTGGAACATTGGTGCAATTGTTTCGGTGGGTTCGCAAATGTAACAGTTGCAATACATTTGCCCGCGTGAAAGTGCTCTTAAGAGCCACCCCTTAATAATCACACATTTCGTTGTATTTCTCAATATTAAGCACAGTAAAGTTTTTTGTTTTTTGTTTTTTGATTTTCTTTTTTCTTGGTTTTTTAACATCATTTATTCATGTTAATTGTCCACGATTTTTCCATGGCCCTGTACATTGCCACGTGGACTGGCATACCAGGGTTTAAGTTTGGGTTTGAGTTGCTTAAAGCAATGATACTCATCTAATTATTCAGTACACATTCATTTTTTTCTGCAAGATTAACATTGTTATACTGTAGTACTTTGTATTGTATTTCTAGTTCTCTTTTAAATATTCTAAAAAGGCAGTCGGTTTCAGTTACTTTACATCTGTACACAATATACCTTGCTAGCAGTAGTAAATAATTCATCAAAGTACACTCCTCTGTGCCTCCTTCTATACCATACAATACAATATCTCTGTAATTATCATAAATCTGATTATGAACATTGAAAAAGATATTGCTTTCAAGACAGGTAATCAACAGAAATTCTATGGTGCTTGGATGCTGTATCATCAACTTTTCGAAAATGAGGAGCAGCTTTCAATTTAATTTTAGTTTTGTACTTAAGATTTTAATGTTTGAGACCATGTACTTTCCTAAACTGCAATATGATACATAAACAAGAGTGAATGTGTGAGTGAGAAGTATGTTATTTTCTGTAAAAAAACAACAACAAAGTAAGATGTACTGATAAGTTGTGCTTTATATCATGGGCTTTCTGCTACCCTGGGCGGAAGCCCATTTATGTAACAGGTGTGTCTTTCTAAAAACAATAAAAGAAAAAAAAAAAAAAAAAATCTGATTATGTACATTAACCTTCGACCACTTAATACATTTGAACAGTAAAGCATGTCAATGTAATGTCTAACAGTATCTATACTACCACAATGTTCACAAACATTACTTTCTTTAATGTTAATTCTATTTAAATACTGATTACAAGGAATGATGGAGTGTAGAATTTTGAATTGCAGTTGCTTATACTTGTTTCCAATTCTCATGTCCTTTAAATTTTTCCATTTAAAAACATCTTCATTAGCAACTTGGAACACATTATAGATTGTATTATACCAAAATTTACTTTTGCGTGTCAGCAGGTCTGATTCCTTTAACTTCAGGATGTGGTTCTATTTCTATAGGACCCGCGTTTTGGAAACTAAACATGTTCTGCCCTATTGTCTTCCTAATAGCATTGATATACCTACTATATTTTCTTGGTGTTATGTCAGTTCCATATTTCCTAGCAATTGTTTCGCGTTGAAAGAAATCCCCATTCGTTTTAAGTAATTGCCTTATATAAATAATGCTCGCGTCCTTCCATTCCGCATCAAATATACTTTTTCGATTGATTAAGATATTTTTGTTATTCCAAATTATTTCATTATAGATGTCATCTTCTCTTTTTGCAAGAAAGGTCTTCCACAAGGATAAATTTTCTTTATAGAATAATCGGATTTTTAATTTTAATTTGGACACTTACAGTTAAGTAAGAATTCAAGCGAACCAATGCTTTTAAAATAATGTGCAATAGGAACTGTCCAGATCTTCTTAGAGAAATACTTGGCGAGCCAAACTAGTTTTAACGCTGCGTTAAAGGTACCAAAATCTAGAGCGTTAATGCCACCTTCTTCTTGTTTTTGGATTAACCGATTTCTTGATACTTTTTCTGACTTGCTGTTCCAAATAAAGTTCTCTATTGATTATTTTGATTATTTTTGGTGAAAAGGAAACACAACTTGCTTGATGGACTAACATAGAAATTCCTTCAGATTTGCTTAAAAGACAACGTCCATATATTGTTAAATTTCTACTTTCCAGATTTTAAAACGTCTTTTAACATTTTCTAAAGGTCTTTCTAAGTGACATTACGACTGATTTATCTAAATTCAGTTTTAAGCTAAGCCGCTGTAGGCACTTTGATTTAAATAAAATTCCAGGGTTTTCTTGACCGATTTATTATCTCTCAGAATGGGAGCCGAATCATCTGCATAATATATTACTTTTTTTTCTTTTTCTCCAAATATTAGGCCATTAATGTTTTGATCTTTTCGAAACTTTGTCTTTATTAACTCTGCACAGATTAAAAAAATATAAGGACTTAGAGGACATCCCTGTCTGGTACCCCTGAGGTTAAGCACAGTAAAGTCGCGACAAGGCGTTCACGTCTTGATTACTTACCACAAATGTAATAGGTACTAGTACATGTTAAATGCTTTGTTCCAGGAGGAGTTTGACCAGCTGGTGAAGACTACTAACAAACTGGTTGTGGTGGAGTTTGGCGCCACCTGGTGTGGACCGTGCCGAATGATCCTGCCTTTCTTCAACGTACGTCAAGCTAAATTCGTTGTTTGGGTGAGCGAGTGAGTGAGCTGGGTTTTACGCCGTTTGGAACAGTATTCCAGTTATATCACGGCGTGTCAGCTTATTGTGGGAGAAGAGCTCGAAGTGATGTAGGTCTAAGACGTTTACCACTTTGATGAAACCCACGAGCACGGGTATGGTGCTGACAAACTTAGAAACATAATCGGGCGAAGCTGGATTCAAAGCAAAGGTAAAGGAGTTTCTGAGATGGTCAAGGGACGCAACTCTGTACAGCGAATTGTAGCGATTGGTCACCCTTGCCCCCTTTCGGTGTTTGAACCAATAAATATGTTTGGTGAGATGGTAGAAAATAAGCGTTATGACAAATCAGGGTTTTGTTCGTTGTCAACCCAAAGTTTAACGCCTTACCCGTTAGCAACTAGAAACGTGATGAAGAAGGCGGGAGCTAGCTGCTTCGATTTAATAAGAAGGAGTCTGGGTCTTTCATCATGAATTTTCCAACCTTTGATATATATAACACTTTCTTTGTAAAGTACAGATTCTCATACTTTTCTAAGTTGAGTCCCGTCCGGGATTCGAACCCACACTGCCAGAGTGAGGCACCTAATCGCCAGCACACAAAGTCAGCGATCTAACCCACTCAGCCACGGAGGCTTCCACAAAAATGAAAGTCCGACAACTGGTAGTCTAAATCACGTACTTTGTGTACCCCTCTGATATACAGTGGGTACTGATGGAGATTTAATCAACATTACATGGCCACATCACGCTTAGATTGTACAATGTATAATGTGTAGACCTGATAGTTACAGGCAATCTGAGAAAGGCGTTGTTATTATTCGTGGGAATGTGATGTGGTTCAGACGAGACCTGTCCTTCTCCCGGTAGATAGGCTGGTGGTATTTCAAGCAGCATGAAAGGGCTTGGACAAGAAGATAAGTAAAAGTCGGAGTGCAGGACAAGTAGATCAGAATGTGCTTTACACTCCGTGTCTTCTGGAACCAATGATGATTTTGTGTAAAAATGTCCGCTGCCTGGACTTGAAGGTGGTACATGTACTTAGATTTGCTTTCCACCATGTCCACCATACTCCCTGTAATATGCTACATATTAATTTCACACACACACACACACACACACACACACACACACACACACACACACACACACACACACACACACACACACACACACACACACACACACACACACACACACACCACCCCTACCCCTACCCCCGAATAAAGTGATGGCAATGTTTGGTTTTGTGATCTTCTTCTGTTCTCCTCCACAGCGTCTCGAGGAGGAACTAGGGGATAAAGTCATCTTCGCCAAGGTCGACGTCGATGAAGCAGGGGTAAGTTTCAAAAAGTTTTATCTGAATTTCACTTTTAATCTTTTTCTTGACACCGCTGCAGGATATAATTGGCTGGTTAAAGTTAGTCATCGAGTTCACATTTCAAGCGCTGTTTAATTCCAAACCGACACTTACATTATCTCTCTATCTTTAGCGTCACTGTTATTTTGTCTTCACAGGATATAATTGGATGGTTAAAGATAGTCATCGAGTTCACATTTCAAGCGCTGTTTAATTCCAAACCGACACTTACATTATCTCTCTATCTTTAGCGTCACTGTTATTTTGTCTTCACAAAAGTCAAAACTGACAGTTAAAACACTTGCTTCCTGTAAGTCGATGTGTCTCCATATCCAACTTTGTTATATCCATCATTTCACATGGACCACAACACATCCTGTTAAAGCCTAGCATTCACGAATAAAATGCATAGATTACTCTCATTGTCTCAGAAGTTAAGATATAGAGCTCAGTTCACAAGAAAGTTATCTGAAGTCCCAGCGGATCTCGGACATGTGTCTTAGGTGATACGAGTTATCTCTGTTTATAATATGTAATGTTTTCAATTAGGAAAATGCTTGAATAATAATATTAAAAGCGACAAAACCCTTTCCATATTCATAATACACCTAAAAGCAATGTCGATGGTACAATTGCGACTATATCGTAAGCATGTGTTTATGAATCACTGTTAAATAGTGATGATACCAAGAGCTCGCGAAAAGATGAGCGTATCCTGGAGGCACTCGTCACAAACACATGCAGAGGCAAGTCATTGTCGGCGAAGGTAAAATTCAAGTATTCAGAAAAAAATGTTCCACAAAACCTGAAATTGTTGTGCTATTTCTTAGCCGAAATAATGAAGTTAATTTGTATTTTGTATTCAGAGTATCCACAAAATTCACCGAAATTGGTTGTGTCTCTACGCGATATGCTGCTATGTGTTTATGTCGACCAAAAAACACACACGCGCGCGCGCGAATAAATACACGTAAACACACACAGCTATATGTTGATGCGGACTGTCACACACAGCTCTGTGTTGATGCGGACTGTCACATACAGCTCTGTGTTAATGCGGACTGTCACATACAGCTCTATGTTGATGCGGACTGTCACACACAGCTGTATGTTGGTGCGGATTGTCACACACACACACACACACACACACATATCTCTATGTTGATGCGGACTGTCACACACAGCTGTATGTTGATGCGGACTGTCACACAGAGCTGTATGTTGATGCGGACTGTCACACACAGCTGTATGTTGATGCGGACTGTCACTCAGAGCTGTATGTTGATGCGGACTGTCACACACACACAGTTCTTTGTTGATGCGCACTGTCACATACAGCTCTGTGTTGATGCGGACTGTCACACACACACACACAGCTCTGTGTTGATGCGGACTGTCACACACACACACAGAGCTGTATGTTGATGCGGACTGTCACACACAGCTGTATGTTGATGCGGACTGTCACACACAGCTGTATGTTGATGCGGACTGTCACACACACACAGCTCTTTGTTGATGCGCACTGTCATATACAGCTGTGTGTTGATGCGGACTGTCACACACATCTGTAGGTTGATGCGGACTGTCACCTTGGTGTTGTAGGATCTGGCGGAGGAGTGTGAGATCAGCTGCATGCCCACCTTCATCTTGTACAAGGGCGGCGACATGGTGAGGTTCTATATGCTTTCACGGTATCCCCTTGGTAATGTAGAACTACTGCATGTTGATGATCGTATCCATACAGCAAATTAAAATGGTTTCCCGTCCTTTTAGCAATGTTCAAGCTACATCACACCAACAATCAGCTCCATACTTTGTACGTACCCACGAGGGGAATCGAACTGGCGACTTTGGCGGGACGAGCGAACGCTTTAACCGCTAAGCTGGCCCACCGCCCCATAAGAGACTGAATGATATTTCACGACAAAGACTCTTGCAGTGTACCCTTGGGCTGTAATATATGTGCACATAGATGTTTGGATATAAAGGGTATCTAGGATTGCAAGGACGCGTGTTTGATACAATTGTGAACAGATATATATTTCAAAGGCGCTTGTGTCGAGATACCTTTTAGTTGAATTCTTACCAATAATTCCAATCATTGCGAATTGTGGCAAGGGCCCCAGTCGTCCAAGGCGCCGTGATTTGTTATGCAGAGTTGCGCTCCTTATCGTTTGATTCTGGGTTCGAATCCCTGATTCGCCCCGGTTATGACTCTTGGTTTGTCAGCGCCATACCGTAATCAGAAGTCTCTGACCCCTAATCCTACATTGCCTCGGAATTTCCTCCCACATTAAGTTGACACTCCGTGATGTAACTGAATACTGTTAAAATTATTACACTAGATTGTGTTCAATGACGTAACAACTGCATCGTCATATACACTGGCTCCTGGTTGTATTTCCGTTGCGTTGCCTTTACTATGAGTTGAGTCACATTCAAGCTTTTATTTCTGTACGGGGCACCTTGGTATAACTACTATAGCTTTCCAAGTGGTATTAAACCAAACTCACTCACTCGAGATATTACGACCTGTGAAGAACCAGGTTAGACAAGATCTTCAACAACCCATGCTTGTCGTAAGAGGCGACTAACGGGATCGGGTGGTCAGGTTCGCTAACTTGGTTGATGCATATCATTGTATCCCATCTTCGTGGTTCGATGCTCATTATATCAATCACTGGATTGCCTGATTCGATTATTGACAGACCGCCGTCATAGAGCTGGAATATTGCTGAGTGCGGAGTTAAACAACAAACAAACTCGAGATATTACACTAAAATTCTAAAGTCAAGCCCGTGTTATTAATAATAAAAAAAACAATAATTTTTTATATATTTTTTTTAAAAACCCGTGTTTTTTATTATCTCCAGGTGAAAACATTGCAAGGAGCCAACAAAGAACAACTGGAAGAAACCATCAGAGAACTGTGCTAGTTTATCCGAGTAAACAGTGACAATGTCTTATCTAAAGGCGGACATTGGGACAACCATGTTGACATCAACGCTCAATACTTAAATTATAACGTTTCATACATAAACACGTCACTACGAAGATTTATGCAAAGCGTGCACTGCCACGTTCCAAGCATATAATTACGTCTATCCTTGTATTACGTTCGATACGGTTAATGAGATAAAAACGTCCATATGTGCATTACGTTGAGAACAGGTAATATGTAGTATACGCACATTGTAGTTCACATGTTTATATTTACTTTCGGCGCGTATAGTATGCATATCCCTCTCCAGGCTCCTCACAGCGATAGCCCGTTCGCGGAGCTCTCTATACTATCGCTGCCACCAGTCAAAACTCCCCACTGTGATAGGTGGGCCCAACCATGCTTAGAGTTGAACTCGCAGCCGAATGACCGTTATGTTTACAAACAAGTGACGACTGTCGTGACGCCGAATACACTTACCGCTGCTAAATTACTGTTCTTTGCTTGTCAATTTGAATTTCTATTTCATTAAAACTGTCATGTATATGATATAGTAAGAATGTAAGGGAGACGTTGGTTGATTTTCCGTTAGTCTGCAATGTCGAACCAATCTGATTATACAAAAAACAAAGTAAATTCATCTTGAAAACATGGTCAGTCGTAAAGTTTTTCAAAATGAAATATGATGGCATTCCCAAAGACACAAACAAAAGTATAAACGTTACTACATTTGGGGTTAGAGGGCAAAATTCAAGATTCTTGTAATGGCCGCGCCCACGCTGGTGGCAGCGATGTTACCGAGAGTGTAACGAAGGTGTCACGCGCTGGGAAGGAGCTTGATCCCTCTCACTGAGAAATGTCTAAAAGACTACCAAACACTTGTCCTATTACCGAGTCAGGGTTACACCGAAACCTTTTGTGGACGTAGATTATATATGGTTTTCTTGCTGTGTTTAGGTTTACTGAATCTATAGTATAGACGTCCGTGTTAAACATTGTAGATGTTCTGAGAATAAAGTATATCCAAAGAAACACTTCTTTATCATTTTTAGTTTATCATAAATGCAAACACCACAGAGGGCGCTGATGTGGTATTGATTCGATTGGGTCGTACCACCTTATTCGATTCAACGGCGCCAGTGAATGTACAATCAATGACTGAAACATCCACTCATTTTGCCGAGTAGTTTATGGCATCCCCATTACCTCTTCATCCTATATGGGACACGGGTGGCCCAGTCGTCTAAGGCGCCGCAATTCGCTGTGCAGAGTTGCGTCCCTTGGGCACAACGGGAACCCATGATTGTGGGTTCGAATCCCGGGTCGTGCCGATTATGTTTCTAGGTTTGGCAGCGCCATGACACGGCTGAGGCATGCATCACTTCGGTCTTTCCTCCAAAATTAAGCTTACACGTCGTGATATAACTGGTATACTGTTCAAAGCGGCGTAAAACACAACTCACTCACTCGTCCTATCTACCTTTTCTTTAAGGCGCTTGTCGGTAAAAAAATGCAGTTCTGGGTGCCGTTGTACAGAGCGATCTTAGCGCTAAGGCCATCGTAACTCCCTTAACATAGACAGTCGTAGTGCTAAGGTCGTTTTGTACAACGGCACCCTGTACAAAGAAGAAACTGAGACACCTATCACACTTGGAGTTGGATGATCTTAGCGATGTTCTATAAACCACACACGTTCATCTGCGGGCACACAGCTGGTGAGATCAGGAGCAGGCCTAGGTCAAACTGTCCAGGGCCCGTTCTACAAAGCGATCGTATAATACCCCAATACTTACGATAGTCGTAACGTTACGATCGCTTTATAGAACGAGGCAAAGATCTTTTCCTTGTCACACCATTTAGTCAGCCTCGTCCGCCGATTTCTCACGGTCGATTCTTTGTCCTCAACCCCATGCACCTTGGCCCACTTGCACAAAGCCGTCTCAGCGCTAAGATTATCGTAAGCCACGTTTAAGTATGGGAGTTACGATCATCTTAGCGCTAATATCGCTTTGTTCAAGCGGGCTTTGGTCTAGTGGGTGGGCATTGTAATATTTTAATGTCTTTGTTTTTAATACTTGTCCTGTGGCAATTTGGATATCTCCGTCAATAGTTATCTCTAATAAGGGACCGCCTCCGTGGTCTAGTGGTAGAGCGTCCGCCCGGAGAGCGAAAGGTCCAGAGTTCGATCCCCGACCGCGTCATACCAAAAAGACGTTAAAAGATGGTACTTGTTGTTACCCTGTCTGGCGCCCGGCATTAAGGGACTAAAACAAGGACTGGTTGGCTCGGAGTCAGTATACTGTGTCTGAGTGGGGTATTCATGTTAAACTGCGGCATGGGATCTCAGTGAGCTAGCACTATAAATCGGCATCAGTCCGGTCTAGTACAAGCAGCCACACACACACACACGTGCATGCACGTCGCTATATAAGTGCAATAATCTTGGACGCGACGTTAAACCCCCTTTCACCTCACCTCAAATAACGACAAAGCGATCGTAGCGCTAAGACGATCGTAAGCCCCATACTTTAACATTACGGCAGTCTTAAAATCACTAAGCACTAAAATCGCTTTGTGGAACGGGGCCCTGGTTTCTGATACCTCTCTGCGCGGGCTCCTTATAAGTTGACAGTTTGGTTCCATTGGCCTGATATACCCCCCCCCCCCCCCCCCCCCAGGTGTCGAGTGTGTATCCCCTGTTTTGCCAGTGTCCCCATGGCTCAAGAGGTCAATATTAACCCTACCCAGTACGTACACTGTATATACTGTAAGTATGGGGAAAGCAATCTGGTTGTTATTGCCTTGGAGTGACGGTTGTCAGAAAACTTTGCCGCTATCGCATCTCTGGGTATTACTTCCGTTTCTTGCTCAAAGATTGTTTGATAATTGTTAAACGTTTTATGGCAGAGGTGAGGTGTGGGGAAATGGGGTTTAACGTCGCATCCAAGATTATTGCACTTATATCTGTGTGGATGTGTGTGGCTGCTTGTACTAGTCCGGGATGATGCCGACTTATAGTGGTAGCCCACTGAGATACCATGCCACAGTTCAACATGAATACCCTACTCAGACACAGTATACTGACTCCGAGACGACCAGTCCTTGTTTGAACCCCTTAATGCCGAGTGCCAGGCAGGGTAACAACAACAACTACCATCTTTTAACGTCTTCTGGTATGACGCATCCGGGGATCGTACCCCGGACCTTCCGCTCTACCACTAGACCACGGAGGCGGTCTTTTATGGTAAACATTTGGATGACGTACATTTCCCAATTTTGACGAACAGACAGACCTTTTTATTCGGTATAAGACCTCGGCCCAAAATACATACAAAAACATTATGATGTACGCATCAGTAACTCAAATGAACGTCCAGAGCAATTCCCGTGTGTCATTTTCAGGTAAACTCGGACACGCCTTTGCATGTGTTTGGTGACGGGTGCCACCGGTGGGACATGATACGCTCACCTTTTCGCGAACCCCTGGTATCATCACTATTTTAAAGAGATTCATAAACACATGCTGATGATATAGTCGGAATCGTACAATGGACTCTTATGAAAATGTTTTTGTCGTTTTTATTTACAATAATCAGATCATACCATGTACAGCCAGTAAGCTTTACAATAATCAGACCATGCCATGTACAGTCAGCCAGATTTACAATCATCAATTCATCCAATCTAAACTACTGACGGTCTGCCAGGTTTACAATCAAGAAGCCATGACGTCATCAGCAAGCATACAGTCATCATGTAAGAACATCAACACATGTAGCGTCATCGCCACGTTTCTCATGCCAGGACATTCATTCTTGCACACCACGTCATCACTGATTTTTCTCGACTTTTGCTTCCAGGTCTGCCTGACTGGCACCGACTAGCTCATCCACCTGAACAACATACATAGAGTACATGATTAATAGGACATTTGTTCTAGTTCTGTAGTCATGGGATACACTTTAAAAATAGATGTCTTTGTTTTACGCAATTCCTCATATTTTGTGTCAAAATGGTGAAATCTACCACTTGGTATGAGAAGTACAAACGCCCCTACCCTACAGCTGTACACTGACGTCTCTCTATCCTACAGCTGTACACTGACACCTCCCTACGCTACAGCTGTACACTGACACCTCCCTACGCTACAGCTGTACACTGACACCTTCCTACCCTACAGCCGTAAACTAACGTCTACCTACCCTATAGCTGTACATTGACACCTCCCTACCCTACAGCTGTACACTGACACCTCCCTACCCTACAGCTGTAAACTAACGTCTACCTACCCTACAGCTGTACACTGACACCTCCCTACTCTACAGCTATATACTGACACCCCCCTATTCTCCAGCTGTACACTGACACCTCCCTATTCTACAGCTATATACTGACGTCTCCCTACCCCACAACTGAACACTGACACCTCCCAACCCTACAGCTGTACACTGACGTCTCCCTACCCTACAGCTTACACTGACACCTCCCTACCCTACAGTTGTACACTGACGTCTCCCTACCCTACAGCTTACACTGACACCTCCCTACCCTACAGCTGTACACTGACGTCTCCCTACCCTACAGCTTACACTGACACCTCCCTACCCTACAGTTGTAAACTGACACCTCCCTCCCTAGCTGTACGCTGACGTCTCCCTACCCTACACCTTACACTGACACCTCCCTACCCTACAGTTGTAAACTGACACCTCCGTCCCTAGCTGTACACTGACGTCTCCCTACCCTACAGCTTACACTGACACCTCCCTACCCTACAGCTTACACTGACACCTCCCTACCCTACAGCTGTACACTGACGTCTCCCTACCCTACAGCTTACACTGACACCTCCCTACCCTACAGCTTACACTGACAACTCCCTCCCTAGCTGTACACTGACACACCCCTACCCTTCAGCTTACACTGACACACCCCTACCCTACAGCTTACACTGACACCTCCCTACCCTACAGTTGTAAACTGACACCTCCCTCCCTAGCTGTACGCTGACACCTCCCTACCCTACAGCTGTACACTGACACCTCCCTACCCTACAGCTGTACACTGACGTCTCCCTGCCCTACAGCTGAACACTGATACCTCCCTACCCTACAGTTGTACGCTGACGTCTCTCTATCCTACATCTGTACACTGTACCTGTTTCCCGTCCTTGTAGAACTTGAAGGTCGGCATCGCCTCAACCTCACAGGCGGCTGCTGTCTCCTGGGGAATTAAAATAGGAAGGTTTAAAGCATGTATCCATGGTAACTCAACAAAAACAGAAACTATTTTTCCAAACAAGTCATCATCAAAGAGACATCGTTTAGTTTTAGATTTTTCCAATTTTGCATCGGCAGAAATTTGACACAAATACATAAAACGAGATTCGTACAAGGTAAATATTGTCCAACGAATGGAGCTAACTCGTACCTCATTTTCGTCTACGTCGATCTTGAGGAAGACGACCAGCGGGTATTTCACGGACAAGGCCTGCAATGAAAACATCTCCTATATGTTTGTCGATGTACCCATACATTCATACCCACAATTTCCAGTAACACTGGCAACAGGTTACACTGTCACCTGTGTATTATGTGTGGGTATGTTGGTTGAACAACATCACCCGCCATTATCGAACATTCGGTTTTGGCCTTCATAACCAACAAGTCCTTTGTTTTAATGTAATTAGCAGAAGTAGCGAAAATTAATCCATGCTGTCAATTACAACTGCTTTTACTAGTTCGTACTAATACTGTTTATATTTCTAGCCTACTGAGATACAATTTGGCAGTTTAATATGAACACCCCTCTCAGTATACTGACTCCGAGGCGACTTTCCCTCGCTGACACCCCAGAGCTACAGTGGTTGAAGCTTTGCTTTCACATTACACCTGTGGTATTGGCAGCAACAACTTATCGCCTGCCTTGAAAGATATTTGAGACCTCTAGGACACACTTACCTCAAAGAACGGCGCAATTCCGGTACACGGGGGACACCAGGTGGCGAAGAAATCGACCGCCACTAGCTGTCCGGGGCTTCCGGCCAGAACACTGTCAAACTCAGCCTGCCACAACAATATATAACTACACTACACTACGCTACACTACGCTACGCTACACTACACTACACTACACTACACTACACTACACTACACTACACCATGCTTAAAGGCATTTAACTGCACTACAATATGCTATGCTGTGCTATGCTATGCTATGCTATGCTATGCTATGCTATGCTATGCACAACACTACACTACACTTGTCTACACTTAACTGCACTGCAAGACATGACACAACACTACACTTACACAAACGCTGATATACTGATATACTGTATATTACACAATACACAAACACTGATGTCCTGTTATAATGTATATTACACACAGCACAAACACTGATGTACTGAATATTACAAACTACACAAACACTGATGTACTGATCTACTGTATATTACACACTACACAAACACTGATGTACTGATATACTGTATATTACACACTACACAAAAACTGATGTACTGAATATTACAAACTACACAAACACTGATGTACTTATATAATGTAGATTACAAACTACACAAACACTGATGTACTGGTGTACTGTATATTACACACTACACAAACCCTGATGTAATGATGTACTGTATATTACACACTACACAAACACTGATGTACTGATATACCGTATATTACAAACTACACAAACACTGATGTACTGAATATTAACAACCTAAACAAACACTGATGTACTGTATATTACAAACTACACAAACACTGATGTACTGATGTACTGTATATTACACACTACACAAACACCGATGTACTGATATACTGTATATTACAAACTACACAAAAACTGATGTACTGAATATTTCAAACTACACAAACACTGATGTACGAAATATTACAAACTACACAAACACTGATGTACTGATATACTGTATATTACACACTACACAACCACCGATGTACTGATATACTGTATATTACACACTACACAAACACTGATGTACTGTATATTACACACTACACAAGACTGATGTACTGAATATTACAAACTACACAAACACTGTTGTACTGATGTACTGTATATTACACACTACACAAACACTAATGTACTTATATACTGTATATTACACACTACACAAACACCGATGTACTGAATATTACAACGACACAAACACTGATGTACTGATCTACTGTAGATAACACACAACACAAACAATGATGTACTGATATACTGTAGATTACACACTACACAAACACTGATGTACTGAATATTACAAACTACACAAACACTGATATACTGTATATTAAAAACTACACAAACACTGATGTACTGATATACTGTATATTACACACTACACAAACACTGATGTTCTGTATATTACACACTACACAAACACTGATGTACTAATGTACCGTATATCACACACTACACAAACACTGATGTACTGATATACTGTATACTACACACTACACAAACATTGATGTACTGATATACCGTATATTACACACTACACAAACACTGATGTACTGAGTATTACAAACTACACAAATACTGATGTACTGATGTACTGTATATTACACAATACACAAACACTGATGTACTACATATTACAAACTACACAAACACTGATGTACTGTATATTACACACTACACAAACACTGTTGTACTGTATATTACACACTACACAAACACTGATGTACTGTATATTACACACTACACAAACACTTATGTACTGATATACTGTATATTACACACTACACAAACACTGTTGTACTGTATATTACACACTACACAAACACTGATGTACTGTATATTACACACTACACAAACACTGATGTACTGATATACTGTATATTACACACTACACAAACACTGATGTACTGTATATTACACACTACACAAACACTGATGTACTGATATACTGTATATTACAAACTACACAAACACTGATGTACTGATATACTGTATATTACACACTACACAAACACTGTTGTACTGTATATTACACACTACACAAACACTGATGTACTGTATATTACACACTACACAAACACTGATGTACTGATATACTGTATATTACACACTACACAAACACTGATGTACTGAATATTACAAACTACACAAACACTGTTGTACTGATGTACTGTATATTACAAACTACACAAACACTGATGTACTGATATACTTTATATTACAAACTACACAAACACTGATGTACTGATATACTGTATATTACACACAACACAAACACTGATGTACTGATATACTGTATATTACAAACTACACAGACACTGATGTACTGATATACTGTATATTGCAATCTACACAGACACTGATATACTGTATATTACAAACAACACAATCACCGATGTACTGATATACTGTATATTACAAACTACACAAACACTGATGTACTGGTGGGCTGATGTACATGTATATCATTCCTGCACAACAACACTAGTCAACTTCTTCATGTGCCTAATATAAGCGAATAGTTAAGGTTCAAAGACACTATGTGTAATAATCGCCCAAAAGGAGACAGTATCTTGCTGCGACCGTGTATAACATACGTCTATCCTGGGAGGTAAAACAATGCACTCATTCTGGCCGATAGAAAAACATTTACTCTTACCTTCGTCTTGATGACTTTCATCTTTTGGGTTTAAGACAACTGAAACAAATACGCAACTGATGAGACTATATTATATTTTAATTTCTATGTTATATACCCTGTGCCCATTCGCTATGTAGCATCGTTCCGGACGTGACGTCACCCTCTCATTTTTTCAATACCAACATAGCACTAAGACACGGCAGGAAAGTCCCATTGCTTAATGAAGTGCCGGTTGTTTTGTGACGTCGAGAAAAGTCGAGTCGTGTTCTGGTGATCCAACCGCTTGTTTCGATCATAACAGGACAGCATAATTGATTGGACATCATATGTATCGGGTAACGTCATTCGCATTGGATTAAACCAAGGCATGATGGCAAATTTATCAAGGGTATTTACCATAATAAAATGGAGATATAATCAGTGGGTAATAGACGGCGTTATTTTTCATTGCAGTATTTCATATGGCCTCAGTTTGTTTGTTTTTTGTTTGTTGTTTAACGCCACAGTTGGTAATATTCCAGCTATATGACGGCGATCTGTAAATAATCGAGTCTGGACCAGACAGTCCACTGATTGACATCATGAGCATCGATCCACTACATCGTCTTATGATGCAGTCAGTGTGTGGAGATTACAACTATCAAGACCAAGATAACAATGGATACCCCACTCAACACAGTTATTGACTCCGAGCCGACCAGTCGTTGTATTATGCCTAAATGCCGACCCCCAGTCAGGGTCACACCTTTTAACGTCATGTGTTATGACGGGGCCGGGGATCGAACCCCGACCTTCCGCTCTCACGGGCAAAGCTCTATCAACTTGACCACGGAGGCGGTCAGGAAAAAACCGTTTGACGATTATGTAAATGCATATTCAAATGTTAATTATATAGACCTCCGCTTTTTTATAGTGAAAAGTATATATATATACTACTCAACTTGTGAAAGGGATACTTACATATGTCAGATATATTTAAAGACACACTTGACATAATACGAAAATCGGTATCATGGAAAGTTAAAAAATATCACAACTAGAGAAGTATAAATATTAAGATATCAACGTTATTTAGTCTTGCCCTACAGTGAATATGTTGGCTTACCTTAGGGGTCAGTAACAGTGGTGAAGACAGCACTCGAGTTGTAGTTGGCACTGTTCAGATGCAGCTCGAGGTATAGGGCAGCTGTGCTTCAATACACTGGTTACTGTTGTGTGCGTTGCCAAGTAGCGAGGATTAAGAAGTATTAACGCTTACATAACGGGATAAATAACCGAATTAAATACACATCCAAATTGCACAGAATAATTAGTGACAATTACTTAAACCGGATTTACTCTAAAGCTACGGTTGAATACTAGGCTAACCATGTTCTTATCAGATTGTATTAATTTTCTGTATTTGTTCCAACATGAATGTGTTGGGTAGTGAACACATTCTTCCCACATTACTGTAACAATAAGGCTATGTACGACCCAAATACTGTTGACATTTAACCCATCCATGTCACTGCAGTATGTTACTTCATCAGAGTACGTCATGTTACTGCAGTATGTTACTTCATCACAGTACGTCATGTCACTGCGGTAGGTTACTTCATCACAGTACGTTATATTACTGCAGTATGATACTTCACTAGAGTACGTCATGTTACCGCAGTATGTTACTTCATCACAGTACGTCATGTCACTGCGGTAGGTTACTTCACTAGAGTACGTCATGTTACTGCAGTATGTTACTTCATCACAGTACGTCATGTCACTGCGGTAGGTTACTTCATCACAGCACGTCATGTCACTGCGGTAGGTTACTTCATCACAGTACGTCATGTCACTGCGGTAGGTTACTTCACTAGAGTACGTCATGTTACTGCAGTATGTTACTTCATCACAGTACGTCATGTCACTGCGGTAGGTTACTTCATCACAGTACGTTATATTACTGCAGTATGTTACTTCACTAGAGTACGTCATGTTACTGCAGTAGGTTACTTCATCACAGTACGTCATGTCACTGCGGTAGGTTACTTCACTAGAGTACGTCATGTTACTGCAGTATGTTACTTCATCACAGTACGTCATGTCACTGCGGTAGGTTACTTCATCACAGTACGTTATATTACTGCAGTATGTTACTTCACTAGAGTACGTCATGTTACTGCAGTAGGTTACTTCATCACAGTACGTCATGTCACTGCGGTAGGTTACTTCATCACAGTACGTTATATTACTGCAGTATGTTACTTCACTAGAGTACGTCATGTTACTGCAGTAGGTTACTTCATCACAGTACGTTATATTACTGCAGTATGTTACTTCATCACAGTACGTTATATTACTGCAGTATGTTACTTCACTAGAGTACGTCATGTTACTGCAGTAGGTTACTTCATCACAGTACGTTATATTACTGCAGTATGTTACTTCACTAGAGTACGTCATGTTACTGCAGTAGGTTACTTCATCACAGTACGTTATATTACTGCAGTATGTTACTTCACTAGAGTACGTCATGTTACTGCAGTAGGTTACTTCATCACAGTACGTTATATTACTGCAGTATGTTACTTCACTAGAGCACGTCATGTTACTGCAGTAGGTTACTTCATCACAGTACGTTATATTACTGCAGTATGTTACTTCACTAGAGTACGTCATGTTACTGCAGTAGGTTACTTCATCACAGTACGTTATATTACTGCAGTATGTTACTTCATCACAGTACGTCATGTTACTGCAGTAGGTTACTTCATCACAGTACGTTATATTAATGCAGTATGTTACTTCATCACAGTACGTTATATTACTGCAGTATGTTACTTCACTAGAGTACGTCATGTTACTGCAGTAGGTTACTTCATCACAGTACGTTATATTACTGCAGTATGTTACTTCACTAGAGTACGTCATATAACTGCAGTATGTTACTTCACTAGAGTACGTTATATTACTGCAGTATGTTACTTCATCACAGTACGTTATATTACTGCAGTAGGTTACTTCATCACAGTACGTCATATTACTGCAGTATGTTACTTCATCACAGTACGTCATATTACTGCAGTATGTTACTTCATCACAGTACGTTATATTACTGCAGTATGTTACTTCATCACAGTACGTTATATTACTGCAGTAGGTTACTTCATCACAGTACGTTATATTACTGCAGTATGTTACTTCATCACAGTACGTTATATTACTGCAGTATGTTACTTCACTAGAGTACGTCATATTACTGCAGTATGTTACTTCATCACAGTACGTTATATTACTGCAGTATGTTACTTCATCACAGTACGTTATATTACTGCAGTAGGTTACTTCATCACAGTACGTCATATTACTGCAGTATGTTACTTCATCACAGTACGTCATATTACTGCAGTATGTTACTTCACTAGAGTACGTCATGTTACTGCAGTAGGTTACTTCATCACAGTACGTTATATTACTGCAGTATGTTACTTCACTAGAGCACGTCATGTTACTGCAGTAGGTTACTTCATCACAGTACGTTATATTACTGCAGTATGTTACTTCACTAGAGTACGTCATGTTACTGCAGTAGGTTACTTCATCACAGTACGTTATATTACTGCAGTATGTTACTTCATCACAGTACGTCATGTTACTGCAGTAGGTTACTTCATCACAGTACGTTATATTACTGCAGTAGGTTACTTCATCACAGTACGTTATATTACTGCAGTATGTTACTTCATCACAGTACGTTATATTACTGCAGTATGTTACTTCACTAGAGTACGTCATATTACTGCAGTATGTTACTTCATCACAGTACGTTATATTACTGCAGTATGTTACTTCATCACAGTACGTTATATTACTGCAGTAGGTTACTTCATCACAGTACGTCATATTACTGCAGTATGTTACTTCATCACAGTACGTCATATTACTGCAGTAGGTTACTTCACTAGAGTACGGCATGTTACTGCAGTAGGTTACTTCATCACAGTACGTTATATTACTGCAGTATGTTACTTCACTAGAGTACGTCATATTACTGCAGTATGTTACTTCATCACAGTACGTCATATTACTGCAGTAGGTTACTTCATCACAGTACGTTATATTACTGCAGTAGGTTACTTCATCACAGTACGTTATATTACTGCAGTATGTTACTTCATCACAGTACGTTATATTACTGCAGTATGTTACTTCACTAGAGTACGTCATATTACTGCAGTATGTTACTTCATCACAGTACGTTATATTACTGCAGTATGTTACTTCATCACAGTACGTTATATTACTGCAGTAGGTTACTTCATCACAGTACGTTATATTACTGCAGTATGTTACTTCATCACAGTACGTTATATTACTGCAGTATGTTACTTCACTAGAGTACGTCATGTTACTGCAGTATGTTACTTCATCACAGTACGTTATATTACTGCAGTATGTTACTTCACTAGAGTACGTCATATTACTGCAGTATGTTACTTCATCACAGTACGTTATATTACTGCAGTATGTTACTTCATCACAGTACGTTATATTACTGCAGTATGTTACTTCATCACAGTACGTTATATTACTGCAGTAGGTTACTTCATCACAGTACGTCATATTACTGCAGTAGGTTACTTCATCACAGTACGTCATATTACTGCAGTAGGTTACTTCACTAGAGTACGTCATGTTACTGCAGTAGGTTACTTCATCACAGTACGTCATGTCACTGCGGTAGGTTACTTCACTAGAGTACGTCATGTTACTGCAGTATGTTACCGAACCCGGGTCTTCGGCGTGACGAGCGAACGCTTAAACCACTAGGCTACCCGACAGCCCCTGCGTTTAAGGAGGAGTAAAAACATGGTGTGTATTCTGTGTAAGTAGCGGATTTACGAAAGTGTGCCCAGGGATTTTTACGTTAATATCTCAAAAACGCAAAGACATAGTGAATTCAATTTTTATAAATATATGCGTCAAAAATAATAAATTCACAGACTGCTTATTTAATCATTTATAGTCAAACACACACAACACTATAGACAACAGTACGAAATCAGTAACATCGTTTAGTGCAATAGTACAACACAAACCTCAACCATTCTATTATCAACCGATCAGGACAGTTCGTTATAAGGCTGGGACGGGTAATTAGGGTACTCGGGTCGGGTGGGTCCTGAGTAGGACCCGGATACCCACAGGACTACCCGGACCCGTGGTTAGTCACGTGATATATTGTTTAATGACAACAATTATCTAAAACTCTATGGTTACACTATAAGTCGCTAATGTTCCCATTTCTTTCTGACAATGCACCCATTCCTTCTGACTGTTATATGTTTGAATAAAGATAAAACTTCATGCAGTAAACTTCAGTGTATGCATGACCAGATCGTTTTACACATGTATCTAAATACACTTTGCCAGGGCTAAGGTCAAACTTTTCCAAAATCGGATAGTTTGTACCTATCTCTAAATATCTACAACGGGTATCCGGGTAGGGTTGGGTAATAGGGTGGTGGGTACCCGGGTAGTAAATTTGGGCTCGTCACAGCCCTAGACTTCGTTAGTTGGTGTGGCCTAAAAATCGATTTAATGAATAATCAATGCAAAAAATGCCGCTCAAATGTCAAGGAATCATGTACAATTAATGTATTGGCATATAAATATGATTGTCACATGTGAGGTGAAAACGAATCATGAATTTGACTTCATCGTCATTCATGTCCAGATGCCGAGTCCGGATTAGACCCAGTGGTAGATAGTGTGAGCACCGACACCAGGGTAATGAGGTAACAAGTTTCGTATCACAAATCGCAATCTGTTTCAAGTTTTAGGGGAACCACCCACTAATCTAGTTCATATCCTCAGTTTACATCGATACATGTCCATGCAATCTACTGTGCCTAGGTATACGACATAATGATAAACCAATCCAGGTCTGGGTTCGAACCTACGATATTAGCGGATCCTGTCACATAATTACAGCACCTTACACGTCTAGGTCACCACTGCCCTCGTACTGATGAGGTTTCATGAACATTGTTTCGTGTGTTTGAGGTGGGTAAGTCAAGCTGTAATTTTCATTTCGATATCTCAACCATTCCATCCTAATTTCACCAAAAAAAAGTATGAAAACAATAAGAAAGCTCCCCACCCAACCCCATCCCCCACCCCCCATCCCCACCCCACCCCCACCCCCCCCCCAAAAAACAACAACCACAAAACAACATCGTAGACAAAACGGGTTACACGCAGTGTACCTTCGGAATGGAAAATAAACCTACAAATGGAGACACGGGAACGAATTTAGCATGCACAAAAACAAGTTAAAATGAAGAATCTAGCCGATATTGTGGGTAAGCTGATAATGCGAAACAAGTTTTTTATGTAGCCTAGCACCTACTATAGTATCGTACATTAGGAAATAATATCAGCTTCTGGAACAGGGCTGGAGAGGTGATAGAGTACGTGGGAGCCCATCACAGCACTACACGCACCGCGCAATCAAATGGACGATCCAGTCGACTGATCATCTCTTTAAAAAACTACAGCTTCCATGAATCGTTCATCCTTGGCCGCAATGAGTAAATAGCACAACGTTAGTAAATGCTTTCACTGTAATTGCGTATGTTTGTAATTATGAATGGTTTTACCTTGACGTGTGAGACCAGATCGTCAGTCCGAATCCGTCATCCTGGTCGTCTCGATGACTGCTATTCGCGTGACAATACTGTTATCAGCGAGATAACACCGAATACCAAGACACTACAAGTGCATAGACCTAGTTAGAGGCAACTAGCTACTTGTGCAATATGTGAAGCCGAATCTTGCTGTACCTCGCTATAATGTTACTGGAGTGTTTCCAAAATGGCCTAAATACTACACTCACTCATTGTGTCAGTCCCGGATTGTAATCTCCATGAAATTGAAACTGAAGATAGTTCTCTTCAGGTAGTATGAATCACTTGCTGTGATCTGGTGTTAAACTCCACTTTGATCAGTATTACAGCTTATTGTGAGAGGGCAGCCTGAAGTAATGATGGTTTCAAACCTTAAAGGGCAAGTTCACCCAAACAGCCTTTGCAGGTCTTCTCTTGTTTCCACTTCATGTTCATCGTTTCCATACCGCAAAACTGCCTCGTGTTGGTTCAAAAACGTGTGGTTTTACGATTTCTTAATGGTGCAAGGAAAACCTCTTCGGAATCAGGCACTGTATCGGATGCCATGTTGTCTCACCATAAACTGGTACTTGATATCTTTTGCGTTGTGACTAGACAGGCACCCAGTTAAAATGGCACCAATTACGTCATAATCTAAGGGGGATAAGTTTGGCCTGATTAGATCGGAGAGCGAAGGCCTTATAACGGCATAACATTTACACACTTATTGTGAGCTTCCTACTTTGATTGTGAAAAAAAATAGTGTATATTTTCAACATTGATATGAACTAATTTTAAAAAAGCTTTTTGTTTCAAATTAGAAAGAAATTGATTTTGTCTGTACGACTGCCCTTTAATAAACTGCATGGCAAAAGAAAGTATTAACTTAAACATTGGATTTGACCAAAAGAAATACAAACGTTATCAAACGGTTACTTGGCTGAAAGCAGTCGCCGAAACACAGCAGACTTGAGGTCCAAAACACAACCATGATATCATATACATAGCCATTTCTTGTTTGTTTAATTTTTTGTAACCATAAAACATGGGTGTATACTTTCTTTAGCTCTGCAGTTTACTTTGGTGAAACCCACCCGCACGTTGTTCAGTGCGTCAATGGATATGTTGACATATTAATTTGGTTTGTTTGTTGTTTAACGCCGCACTCATCAATATTCCAGCTATATGCCGGCGGTCTGTAAATAATCGATTCTGGACCAGACAATCCAGTGATCGACATCATGAGCATCGATCTACGCAATTGGGATATGATGACATGCATCAACCAAGTCAGCGAGCCTGACCACCCGATCCCGTCAACTAAGGTTGCTGAAGGCTAACTGTAAGTCGGATCTTCACAGGTAGACTTGTTTGTAGTTGTTTTTCTTCCATAGTTGTTGAGAGGTCGTCTTCATTTCGTTGTCATGTTTATGTATATGGTTATAGAATCTCGTGAGTTAAATCACGTGAATCGTTTAATCAATCCCCATCTCAATTCTTGTGTAATTAAGATTCATCTGGAGGTTTAATTACAGTAAGCGGTGTTTTAATTAAGATCCCTGATAGTTAAGAATTCTAGCACCTACAACTAATAAATATAGAATACTAAACGAGCTCCCGTGTAATACCAATTTTATGAAACGAGTGAATAGTTGTGGTATCTGACGAGCGAAAGCGAGTCAGATACCACAACTATTCACGAGTTTCATCAAATTGGTTTTACACGGGAGCGAGTTTAGTATTTTATTTATTACTTGCCATTTATAACGTTTTTAGAATTATACTGTTGAGTGTGAATAGGCTGACACCTACACGATCAAGGGCATAATCTAATTGAGTTTAACACAATAATACTTCAAACACGTCAAAAGTTGAAACGTATGAATGTAATACCATACAACGGCCCACCTTTAGAATTCAGTCGTCCGTTCCACAAAATTATAGTAGCGTTAAGGTTATCGCAACTCACATACTTTAACTTAGACCAACGACTGTCGTGCTACAGTACGATCGCCTTGTGGAACGGGGCCTTGCACCTCAAAGTTTACAATGACGTCACAATACCCGATGACGTAATTTGTGGAATTTTGTTGCAAGATCCTTTGGCGAAACAATGCCATATGACGTCAGCCTAGCAACAAGGTTGCTGGGGTCATCGAGTGTGCATAAGCTCCTCTCAGTGATCTATCATCTCCACACGCAATGTCGTTTAATAAGCCAAGGGATGTTGAGAGCTTTCAATATTTGTTCTAGAAACGTGTTCGGAGAGTACATAAGCACGCGTTTTGGTATTACACAATGTGTAATACAGCTGTATGTTTATTAAACGGGTGATCTCTTCACGGGCAAGTAATAAATCATGTTATTGTATCCGCACACCGACTTCATACCATGACTTGCACCATATGTTCCCGAGGTTCCCATATGGATTATCAGGTGATTAATTTACTTGCCTTTGCATATTTTTGTGACGGTTGCAACCGGTGGGGCAGGATACGCTTACCTTATCGCGAAAACCTGGTGAGGTGAGGTGAGGTGAAATGGGGTTTAACGTCGCGTCCAAGATTATGGTACTTATATAGCGACGTGCATGCACGAGAGTGTGTGTGTGTGTGTGTGTGTGTGTGTGTGTGTGTGTGTGTGTGTGTCTGGGTGTGTGTGTGTGCTTGTACTAGTCCTGAATGATGCCGATTTATAGTGCTAGCCCACTGAGATACCATGCCGCAGTTTAAAATACCCCAGTTTTGATACCCCAGTCAGACACAGAGCTGACCAGTCCTTGTTTCAGCCCCTTAATGCCGAGCGCCAGACAGGGTAACAACAAGTACCATCTTTTAACGTATTTTGGTATAACGCGGCCGGGGATCGAAACTCCGTGCGGACGCTCTACCACTAGACCACGGAGGCGGTCCGCAAACACCTGCTATCGTCACTTTGTTTGTTTGTTGTTTAACGCCGCATTGAGTAATATTCCAGCTATATGATGGCGGTCTGTAAATAATCGAGTCTGGACTAGACAATCCAGTGACTGATATCATGAGCATCGATCCACGCAATACGGATACGATGACGTGCATTAACCAAGTCAGCGAGCCTGACCACCCGATCCCGTTAGTCGCCTCTTACGACAAGCATAGTCGCCTTTTACGACAAGCATGGGTTGCTGAAGACCTATTCTACTACTTCACGAGTCTCTTGTGATGTGATCATGTGACGACATATCGTGATGCGATCATGTGACGACGTATTGCGATGTAATCATGTGGCGAAATATTGTGAAGCGATTATGTGACGATGCATCATGATATATGGTGCTGAAGACCTATTCTACCCCGGATCTTCACGGGTCTGGTATCATCACTTTAGTGATATCGATTTATAAATACATGAAATCATGTTTGTCAAATTATAGTTGGAATCGTACGATGAGACGATCTTGTTACAATTAGGGGGGCACGTGTTGCCAGTCGACGAAGTCGCTGCTATGCGCACATCTTCCCGAAGCAAGGGAGTTAACTGACTTTGAATGTCCAGTTTTCACCCTTGCCGAACTGGGCTGTAATTCCTGGGCTTGATCGTAGTAGTGGTTACTACGAGTCATGTCCCTTGTGAGCCTCTCCTATGGACCAATCAGATTCCACCTATCGTATCACTTGCATTTGTATCAAACAAAATGCCGGCGCCCCGTCAAGACGATCTGATCGATTATCAAGTTCTATTGTGTGATAAAACGGGTCTTACATCGCGAATTGCATTAAATTACCTTGATTAAAAACCTGAAAAGATTTGGAAAATATTTGTTGACGAGTTGGCGGTGTACATGCTTTGCAAATACTGCAATTGACCGAAATCTACACGACAGTTTACTGACCGGATTTCGATTTCGTTGCGCGATTTTGATTGGACTATGCATAGACTCGTTAGTCCATAACTCCAGCCTTGTTCGGCAAGGGTGGAAACTGGACTTTTATAGTCAGTTAACTCTCTTGCCTCGGGAAGATGGTGGCACAGTCGTCTAAGGCGCCGCCATTCGAAATGCAGAGTTGCGTCCCTTGGACACGCCAGAAACCTATGATTGTGGCTTCGGATCCCGGTTCGCCCCGATTATGTTTCTAGGTTTGTCAGCACCATACCCGTGCTCGTAGGTTTCACAAAGTGGTAAACGTTTGAGACCTGCATCACGGCGTTAAACCTAACACACTTGCTCTCTGATTCTAATCAGAGCTTAGTGCTCGCTACCGCCACACAAAGATCATAGGACATACCATTACAGGTCACGTAAAGGTTAACATGGGGTATTCAGACGGACAGTTACGGGTTGTACGACTGATTCCGAATCCTAGACATCGTCTATCTATCGCTTAAATGGGATGAACATTTGAAACGGGAAACTGTCCTCAGCCACAGGACATTCCAGAAGTTTCTTTTGTTCAGTTTTCAAACTTTAAATCGAGAACCTTGTCAAAATATTGTCAAGCTATAGTTTGAAATGGAAATCGCCATTTTGAAAGTAGTGCCGTAAAGGTCGAGAGAGCTGACCTGTAATGGCATTCGTGACCAACTCGTGTTATTCCGGGACAAGCCGAATAGCGACTCGTGCCCCTCTCGTGGCCATTTTTGCGCCCGGGTTCCATCTTAGCGCAAACGGGCATACCTAAAACTATTGTCAACTCGTTGCGTACGGTTCACATATATTTCCCCATATATTATATATATTTCAGATGCAATTTAAAGCACATCTGGTCATGCGGAATTATACAGTATGATTGAACACATTTAACTGTGTCTTGGGTATATTTTTAGATGCAAGCCATATGTAAAATCAAAAATTATTTCTGAGCGATTCTTTGACGAAGAACTTGAAATCATACGCGCATTCTGATAGGTTTGTTGTATTTTCGCACATAACATTCATCGATAGGCGGGACAAGTCTTCTTGCAGGTAACGGAAAGGGGCGAGTGGTGACGAATGCTGTAATGGGTTGTCATCAGATCATTGGTGCTGCGGTGACGAGAAGACATCAAGGATGTTACCAACCAGTATTGACAAAAGGGTGAGGTCATCATCGTGTGTAGTGACAGTGTAACACTACGGCGCATGTGGTTTGCCTCTTTTCAAAAGTAGTAATCCTTTGACGTGACAAAGACATCAAACCCACTCAGTTCGTGGGGTAGATACAGCCTGTGAGTGAGTGAATGAGTTGAGTTTAAACAGCATTGCTGTAACATGGCGGCGTGTCAGGTTTCTGTGGGAGGAGAGCCAAGTGTTGCGGGTCTTACACGTTTACGTGAAACCCAAGAGTACAGATATGTTGCTGAATCTGGAATTCGAACCCACGATCATAGGTATGCAAGAAATCTAAACATAACTTGTAACTTTTCGATATATTACTCACCACTGTCATTGTGCCATATGTTGCAATTTAAGTGAGTGAGTGAGTGAGTGAGTATGGCTTTACGCCGCTTTTAGCAATATTCCAGCAATATCACGGCGGGGGACACCAGAAATGGGCTTCACAATTTGTACCTATGTCGAAAATCGAATTCGGGTCTTCGGCGTGACGAGCGAACGATTTAACCACAATTTGAAAGCACATTCACCCATCTGAATATATATACAAAACAATCAAAAATAAAATCAATATTGTATCTCATTGAGACGCAAAACAAAGTTCGTTTGTTATTCTTTTATACGTTATATTATACTAATAAACGACCGACAACTAAACAATGGCGATCATCAACAACACGCCATACCCAGTGACATCTATGGACGTGCAGATTAACACAGCACTGTCTCTGTGAGTTTCCATAATATTTAGCAATGCGGTGAATGCCTTTTATGGAGTATGATAATAATGACGGGAATAAATACAGCATTGTACTATATGCGACATATGATGCAAATAACTGTTTATATATACAGTAAACTACGGTTATAACGAACTTAAAGGGACTGCTAATTTAGTTCGTGATAACCGTAGTTCGTTATAAGAAAATATACAACATAACTACAGGAAATAGTCGGGACAAAAAAAGTAAGTTCGTTATATCCGTCAGTTCGTTATAAGCGTGTTCGTTATAACCGTAGTTTACTGTAGACAGACAGACAGACAGACAGATAATATTAGATTGACACCATCTATATCAACATCAGCATCAGTCAGGATCAAACCAATTCAGGACATCTGTTTGTTTCAACTCTTTTTGTCCTCATCGTTTATTAACTCAGCATCCCCATAGTATATGTACCTCATAATACTCCCCGCCGTTGTGTTCCACATCTTTATATTTTCTCGGTTCCTTTCTCGTTTCCCCTTTGGACCAAATCTCATGTACAGATGAACCACAAAGTTATTTTGCTGCCAGTTCCATTTCTTGCTACCAAAGAGGTACGCTAGTTCCCTCCAGTTTGGCCTACAGAGTGATGCTGGTTCAATGTGAATCAAGTTTGGGTATTTTTGGGACAGCTGATACGGTTTGATCACAGAGTGGGAGCCCCATTCTTTGTCTTTGAATGTCTTGTACTCGTGGTGCCATACCTTTTGGAAGTCTGACCATGGTTTAGAGAACATTATTCCATTTGCCAAAACACGTGGTACAGCATGGCCCATTGTGACGTCATGGACTAAGAGAGGGTCAATTGGGTTGACGACTATAGAATCTGTGTCGAAATACATCCCTCCATATTCCAACAGTGCTTCGAGTCTCACAATGTCAGCGACGTGTTCTATGACTCTGACGTCATTTCCTCTGATCTTGGTGGGCCTGTCTCTGTGGACCAGGTACAGATTCTTCACCTTCTGTCTCGTCTCTTCCCAGTATTCACCAACCGGGAGGTTGTCATGCCAGAAGTAAATCTTCTCTGGCTTCGCGATACGAGACGCGGCAAGGATTGCTATCATGTAATGGAAACGAAAAAAGGTAGTACCATTTGAAAACAGACAGAAGTGGACTATTCTTGGCACGACTGGCACTGCATGGCTTATTGAGGCGTTAACATCAAAAGGCTTTTCCACAAGTTCATCGAAATCTGTGCGTTTGTAAAAGTATATATCTGTTTTATTTGCTGGATCTTTGCATATATTGGTTTCCAGACAATCCGGAGCAGTAGGTGTTTCTGGAAGGATATAATTTGTAATGCTTTGTTTCAATCTATTGACAAGACCACCTGTTTTTGCAATATAACCACTTTCAAAAACTGGTGTACTGTGGATATCGCTAATGAAAGTTGTGTTCAGTTTATAGAGAGGGCGTTCCAGAAGGAATACGTCTTCGACCAGGACGAGGTAACAGCAGAGCCCGCCCAGGAGGGTCGCCAAAGCTAGGAAAGGGTGATTCCTCAGGAGCCTTAACATTCTGAAAGGAACAATTATTTTGGCAATCATGACGAAATGGATCTTCTAAGGTGCAGATATATGTATGTATTTAACAGTGTTTCAATTCATACAGGACATTACATTCTTGCAAGTTTACATTAAAAAAACTAGCAAAGTGAGCTGTTATATATATAAAAAAGAAATATAGTGTCACGGCACTGTAGCTCACCTGGATATGTAGTCAACAATTAAAAAATGTCAACAGTTACCGCGGCATGACAAAACGTGCTGTCAGCATTCACAATAACATGTTTTCTGAATGAATACTTAAGTCAGTTACAAACACTATTGTCCACAGATAATTCTATATAAAATAGTAAGCCATCAATAGAACAAACGTACATGCTAATTTTAGAGAAGATTTTTTGTGTACAGAGCCAAAACGGTTTTTTATAAGAATGTAAGAGCAACGTCACCACAAAGGTCCAAAATGAAATATCGTGAAAAAACGGAACACATTTTTTGCATTAAATTGGATGAGAAAATCCCATAAATAAGTAGATTTTTAAGTACGACTGTCGTTAACACATCCATTTGAAGTGTCAGATTCACTGGTCTAGCGGTTTCTGAATAGATTACAGTGTGATGAAATATATCATGATATGATTTAAGAGCCTGGTAAACGTGCACTGGTCAAATCATGGTCAAATTTAAATATATCGTAATAAACGTAACATTGACGTTGAGCAGAACTACTTACTACTTATATATCAACTTACATTACATTTAGAAAAGAGGTGACGGGGAAAAACAATAAATTGTTGTTGTTTTCAATATGGCTACTGTAGCGGCCATATTGACAGTTGGAATCGATCCTCAGGTTAGCTAAAGTCAGGAATTAACGCACGTTAATTAGGGAATTAGCACAGATCTCATCGGGAGTTGGGTCATTTGACACATACAGAGTAAGCAGACATGACACAGGAAGTTAGCACGTCCTATAGTGATTGCACACGTCAAATACTGAAATAGTATATGTCAAACAGAGAGTCCGCACACGTCAAATAGTGAAATAGTATATGTCAAACAGGGAGTCCGCACACGTCAAATAGTGAAATAATATATGTCAAACAGGGAGTCCGCACACGTCAAATAGTGAAATAGTATATGTCAAACAGGGAGTCCGCACACGTAAAACAGTGAAATAGTATATGTCAAACAGGGAGTCTGCACACGTCAAATAGTGAAATAGTATATGTCAAACAGGGAGTCCGCACACGTCAAACAGTGAAACAATATATGTCAAACAGGAAGTCCGCACACGTCAAATAGTGAAATAGTATATGTCAAACAGGGAGTCCGCACACGTCAAACAGTGAAATAGTATATGTCAAACAGGGAGTCCGCACACGTCAAATAGTGAAATAGTATATGTCAAACAGGGAGTCCGCACACGTCAAATAGTGAAATAGTATATGTCAAACAGGGAGTCCGCACACGTCAAACAGTGAAATAGTATATGTCAAACAGGGAGTCTGCACACGTCAAATAGTGAAATAGTATATGTCAAACAGGGAGTCCGCACACGTCAAACAGTGAAATAGTATATGTCAAACAGGGAGTCTGCACACGTCAAATAGTGAAATAGTATATGTCAAACAGGGAGTCTGCACACGTCAAATAGTGAAATAGTATATGTCAAACAGGGAGTCCGCACACGTCAAACAGTGAAATAATATATGTCAAACAGGGAGTCCGCACACGTCAAATAGTGAAATAATATATGTCAAACAGGGAGTCTGCACACGTCAAATAGTGAAATAATATATGTCAAACAGGGAGTCCGCACACGTCAAATAGTGAAATAGTATATGTCAAACAGGGAGTCCGCACACGTCAAACAGTGAAATAGTATATGTCAAACAGGGAGTCTGCACACGTCAAATAGTGAAATAGTATATGTCAAACAGGGAGTCCGCACACGTCAAATAGTGAAATAATATATGTCAAACAGGGAGTCCGCACACGTCAAATAGTGAAATAGTATATGTCAAACAGGGAGTCCACACACGTCAAACAGTGAAATAGTATATGTCAAACAGGGAGTCTGCACACGTCAAACAGTGAAATAGTATATGTCAAACAGGGAGTCTGCACACGTCAAATAGTGAAATAGTATATGTCAAACAGGGAGTCCGCACACGTCAAATAGTGAAATAATATATGTCAAACAGGGAGTCCGCACACGTCAAATAGTGAAATAGTATATGTCAAACAGGGAGTCCGCACGCGTCAAATAGTGAAATAGTATATGTCAAACAGGGAGTCCGCACACGTCAAATAGTGAAATAGTATATGTCAAACAGGGAGTCCGCACACGTCATATCAGGGGTTAGAGCACGTCAGATAGGGGTCGCATGCGTCAAATAGTGAAATGGCATTCGTCTAACAACTAGTGAGTCAACACACGTCAAATAGTGGCTTAGAGTCGCCCACGTCAAATGGTGAAATAGCATACGGTAGCACATTTTAAAAGTGTTTTTTTTTAAATAGGCATGTCCTCGACACACGCGTGTTGAAATTCAGTACAATAAGGAACATAATTAAACGTCTGCCGCAGCATATTGATTAACATCTGTTAATACTGTAAAAACGTTGCTTGTGAGGAAGGTAAATTATAATTTATTTGTTTGTGTATACAGGAAAGAAAACGTCAATGATCAGTCGTCACGAAATCATGGATTAGACATAAGTAATCGATAAGTGGTGGCGGTCGGACAACTTAGTGGTTAACGCTTAACGCAATGTGTGAAGCTCAAGTTTGGTTCCTGGCATGCTAAGGCTTAACGCGGAACATCATCAAATACAAAAACACGACAAGCGTCATGTTTTATTTCTTTGAATACATTACGCCAAAAATAAAATAAAACCATTTTCATATGAGTGAGTAAGTTGGGTTTAACGCCGCTTTTAACAGTATTCCAGTTATATCGCGGCGTGTCAGCTTAATGTGGGAGGAAAGCCCGAAGTGATGCCGGTCTCAACCGTTTACCACTTCGGTGAAACCCACGAGCACGGGGATGATGCTGACAAACCTACAAACATAATCGGGGCGAACCAGGATTCGAACCAACAATCATAGGATTCTGGCGTGCCCAAGGGACGCAACTCTGCATTTCGAATCGCGGCGCCTTAGACGACTGGGCCACACGTGCCCCCATATTCATTAGAAATCTCTGCCAACAGCGGAGTCGACTTCACGCTTCTGATTATACCACGAGCATGTGTCTATGAATCACTATCAAACACTATCGCGAAAAGGCGAGAGCACCCTGCCCCACCGGCGGCACTCGTCACAAACACATGCAAAGGCAAGTCAATAGCCAACCCGAAAAAAACACGGGAACATATAGCACAAGCCAAAACAGAGAAACGCATCGGACACCACTTCCGTCACCGATGCGCCAAACCAGGAAACGTCTCCCTCACGTTCACCAAAAAGTCCCTTGAAACTCGAATATGGCAACCTTGATCAAACAACTTCTGAGCAACAGACGCTCTGTGAAATCGTGGTAGAAAAAGCATGATCGATTATAGTTCAAAAGTATTAAAAGTAAACACCAAAGTCTGGAGATGCTGGAATCTGCCCGACACAACGGGAAAGTTGACTATTGGAAGGTTGAAGTCATCCCTCTTGTCACACAGTCCCAAGGATAGGCCCAAATATGACACAGATGATCATGAGGCGGTCCCACAGGTCTACTTTATTTCTAGGTTGGTAAATCAGTGGAAGGGAATTGTCAATTTATGGTCATTGAACAACATCAGACCATAAGGCCAAATTACCTTGTTTTGACTTTGCCAAACCGAGCAGAAATTCCGATTCATATGTACAAAGACACATATCCGCAAGAAGGGGCCTCTGGGGGTTCCCATTTCTTACCTAAATGTCTTACCTCTGAATTATAAATATGATGCTACAAACATAAACGGGGCGAACCAGGATTCGAACCAACAATCATAGGTTTCTGGCGTGCCCAAGGGACGCAACTCTGCATTTCGAATCGCGGCGCCTTAGACGACTGGGCCACCCGTGCCCCCATATTCATTAGAAATCTCTGCCAACAGCAGAGTCGACTTCACGCTTCTGATTATACCACGAGCATGTGTCTATGAATCACTATCAAACACTATCGCGAAAAGGCGAATTATAAATAGATGCTATCAATGAGGAAGTCTAGCACTTCACATATCGTTTTCCCAGCAAACTTCACATTTGCTTTCATTATTGATAAATTGTCCTTAACCTCTGAGGTGAGTTGAAGTGAAATGGGCTTTAACGTCGAGTCCTTGGAAGAGTATTGCACTCATATAGCGACATGCATGCACGTGTGTGTGTGGCTGCTTGTACTAGTCTGGATTAATGCCGATTTATAGTGCTAACCCACTGAGGTACCGTGCCGCAGTTTGAATTCCCCGCTCAGACACAGTATACTGACTCCGAGCCGACCAATCCTTGTTTTAGCCCCTCAATGCCGAGCGCCAGACAGGGTAACAACAAGTACCATCTTTTAACGTCTTGTAACTGTATCTATGGTACCGTGGATCAAAGAGTGACGTTTTCCCTTAAGCTTGTCATGTGGGATGTTGGTATACAAAGTTGAAAAATCAATTATTTGACAGAAATGAACTTGGTTCTTTTCTGAGATTGCAAAATGTCAAGCATATCCTTTGAGTTTTTGAAAATCCACATAGCATTAATTGCACCTGTCGCAAATACTTTCTGTGAATATTAAGAAATCCCTTCATTGATTGTATTAAGTGTTACGGTTAATCTTTTAGGCAGGCATTTGATGGTACGTTTGTTGAACCCAGCAATATATCTCTTTGTGCGGAATTTTATGGAGCTGGAATCTAGTACAAGAGAGGAATGGACAACGTCTCCAGGTTTTAGAGTCAAGTCAAAAGTTGAAAGTACTGATCCATGGTTCCTCGGTCAACATATTGACCCTTGCATATGGCATTATTGGATATGTCACT